TATGTAGGGATGATCAAATTATATTTAACGGGCTATTATACTATGTTGGATACCTGAGAATGGAACAAGTTCATCACTTGCCTCTATGGAGAAGTGGTGGATTCATTGTAACTGCATTGGCCCATATTGGTCCTGTTGAGTTTATCTATTATTGGTTTCATAGAGCTCTGCATCACCATTTTCTCTATTCGCGTTATCATTCTCATCATCACTCCTCTATTGTTACTCAACCTATCAGTGGTAAGTCCGTCTTTTAACTAGCTAGTAAAGACCTTTTATTTCATGAACTAAAAGGGATGTATTTTGACAGCATTTATTCATCCGTTTGCTGAGGTCGCATCATATTATGCCATCTTTGCTGTTCCTGTAATCGCAACTGAACTCACTGGGACTACTTCTATAGCTACAATCACTCTTTATGTTATCTTTACTGATTTCATGAACAACTTGGGCCATTGTAACTTTGAGGTGATTCCAAAGTGGATCTTCTCTCTGTTTCCACCTCTCAAGTACTTGATATATACGTCCTCGTGAGTAATCTTCTTACCTCTCCCTACACATATACTCTCTGACGAATTTTTACACTATCACAACCTGTCGATGTCACTGCAGGTACCACTCACTACATCACACGCAATTCAGAACTAATTATTCTCTTTTCATGCCAATATATGACTATATTTTTGGTACAATGGACAAGTCCAGTGACACATTGTATGAAAAGTCACTTGAGAAAAAAGCGGAACTGCCTCATGTGGTTCACCTTACACATCTAACAACCTTACAATCCATCTATCATCTCCGTCTAGGATTTTCATCGTTGGCCTCAAAGCCTCACATGACTAGCTCTAAGTGGTATTTGTGGTTAATGTGGCCTGTCACGCTATGGTCAATACTCATTACTTGGATTTATAGTCACACATTTGTTATCGAGAGGAATTTGTTCAAGGATCTCAAATTACAAACTTGGGCTATTCCAAAGTTTCGCAAACAAGTAATAATCTATATCTTATTCAACATTGTTTTGGATCTGGTATCATTTATCATGATTATTTTTTTTTTAACAGTACTTTAGTCAATGGCAAAGAAAGAGTATTAATAATTTGATCAAGGAAGCCATCATGGAAGCAGATCAGAAAGGCGTAAAGGTTTTGAGCCTCGGACTCTTAAATCAGGCAAGTAAACTTAATGACTCTATTTGCCCCCTCTTTATGTGAGACGATTCAAGTTCAAAGGTCAAACTATCTAGTTTCAGATATAGAATCTTTAATCTTTTTAAAGATCTAACGAGCACAAATGAAACTTACTTTATAGGACGAGAAGTTGAATAACAATGGTGAAATTTGCATAAGGAAGCATCCTGAGCTGAAAGTTAAATTGGTAGATGGAAGTAGCCTAGTTGTTGCTGTGGTTCTCAACTCCATTCCTAAAGGAACTTCCCAAGTGGTATTACAAGCTGGTCGTTTGTCCAAAGTTGCTAATGCTATTGCCCTCGCCTTGTGTCAACGAGGAATTCAGGTATTCATAATCTTCTTACACTGTCCTAGCTCCCTTGACTTTGGTTTTTCTTTTAATTTCTCCAATCCATCGTAAATTTTGTACACATATATAGGTTATCACGTTAGACGAAGAAGAGTACAAGGGACTTAAAGCAAGGTTTACCCCTGAGGCTGCAGCTAATTTGGTCTTGTTGAAAAGTACTTGTGTTTCAAAGGTAGTACAGTACTATAACATATAATAATCGTGATATAATTCAAGAATTAGCAAGTTGTTGATTGATTTTGACGCGATATATTGCAGACGTGGTTAGTAGATGATGGATTGAGTGAAGATGAACAATTGAAAGCACCAAAAGGAACATTGTTTATTCCTTATTCACCATTTCCACCAAAGAAAGTTCGTGAGGATTGCTTCTACTTGAGCACACCAGCCATGATTTGTCCAAAACATGTTCAAAATGTAGACTCTTGTGAGGTCAGAAAGGATTATTCATAGTAAATTCTTTTTTTCAAGTTTTGTTTGTTAATTGACGATTGATTTTTTGTCTTTTAATTGAAGAACTGGCTGCCAAGAAGAGTGATGAGTGCATCGAGAATAGCTGGAATTTTGCACGCGTTTGAAGGTTGGAACGAGCACGAGTGTGGTGACATGATGTTTGATATTGACAAAGTATGGAAAGCTAGTCTTGATCATGGTTTTTCACCATTAGATGTAGAAATAATGTAGATTATTATTTTGTAAGATCACAGTTATAAGCTTGTAATAATGGTTAATAATTCCTAGCAACTCAATGGCCTGTACTATATGTAATAAATAACTTTTGACAAATTTAAAAGACCATTATTACCTAAACACAAACATATAAGGATCCATTTTTCATTACAAAAATCAACTATAATAATCCTCTCTGAGTTCATGGATCGGGTCGGCTAAGCAAAGAATGTATTTCTCTGTTTCTTGTAAAGAAGAGAGAGCTTTCTGTGAATGTGAAGGTATCTCTTTTTCCTTTGCATTGTTGTTTTTAATTCACCTGAAAATTGTGCCATTAAATTATTACCAGCCTTGTGTACTGAAGAGTTTGCATATGTTAGTAATACAGATTCCAGAGTAATGCACAAAAGTTGGTTGCGGTGAAGCATTTGGGAATAGGAATCAAAGTATTAATAATCAGAATTTACATCCAAACGTATGTTAGTATAATTTTCTCACACAAGGGGGGTTCAAATGTACCCAAACTCACAAACTATTAGTATATATAAGTTATAAACATACAGGGGAAGTGTGCATACGTAACACATCAGTTATATTGCTTATTGAGGACACAAAAAGTATGTTGCAAAAAGTGGGATGAGGGGGACAACTGCTACTGACTATTTCTATTTACACAACTATGTGATTGACTATTTATATATAAGTTGGCCAACCTTTTGTCAAAATGGCCTACCTGCCAATTTAGTAAGGAATACCATGAATTCCTAGGGTCCTTTTGGGGGTGGGAGGAGAAGAAAAATTATCATCTTGAGAACCAAGGTGGAACAGATGGTGTATGCTTTGCCATTTATATGCTCTACTTGTTCGGATTGGCTGGTGAACGAGTGCTATTAGAAAACGTGTTACTAGAGCCTTTTTAATAGATGGAGTTCTAATGGTCCTACAATACCTAGGACTCATACTATTATTATTAGAACGAGTGCTATTTGTTGTTGTTGTTGTTGTATACAAAGGATGTTACTGTTAGAAAATTTTCAAGTTGAAAATGGTTTCTTACTTAGAAAGTTTTCTTCTTTTCTAGTAAAATACAGCAATTTCAATTTCCAAATACATTTTTTCACTCTTTCAATCAATTCGCCTACTTACTTCCCCCCCCTATATGCATAATATGCGGTAGAAATTGTTATTTACCTTCTATGTATGTTATGATTAGGTAGGTATATAAATATATGTTGAACTTAGTTATATAAGTGTCATCACATTAATTTCTATATAGAAAAAAACTATTTGTAAGTTAGGAAGCAAACACATCAATGGTTTCTATTTGGAAAGTTGTTGCAGCGCTATACCTCGTTCAAGCATTGCACAACATATTCATGAAAAAAAGAAAGAAACTTCCTCCAGAGCAAGTTTCAACACTGTTTGGACTTGCTCAACATCAGAAGCTGTTAATTGCCCTGCGGGACAATTCTGAAGAAGAGGGGGAGGCCTGGCACTATCATAGTGCGTCTGAAGAATCTGTTTGGAGAATTCAAGTCAAGGTGGAGATTTGTTGAATGCCTTGAATTGGGCCCTTACTTATATGTCAATTCTGTATGTTGGGCTCAAGCCTGTTAGAGCGTAGTTTAGCACTATATATAGACGCTATGACAAACCCTATTAAGGACCTTGAATTGGGCCCTTAATTATATGTCAATTCTGTATGTTGGGCCCAAGCCTGTTAGGGCGTAGTTTAGCACTATATATAGACGCTATGGCAAACCCTATTCTGTAATTCTGTTCTTGCCTCTCCATAATAAAACTGCTCCCCCTCTTCCCGTGTCTTGTTTTTTCGCGTTTATATTTTCTCGTATTATATCAAATTCCGCACAACAAACCAGATAGGTGAAACTCTTCTAATTAATATTGGTGCAAAATCTTCAGTTCAATGTTATCAAAGTGATGCTGCAACCAGCTTTTGCCAAGTCGAGGCAGATCGATTCACAATGTCACCATTACTACTTTTCCACTCCGGTATTTCCATTTTTATTTGGTATATGGAGCTAGTATAATGTGATAATAATGAAGAAAGTTATATAGAAAAAATATGTATGTTTTATAACATTACCAATATTACTGCTGGCTAATGTTGGCACCAGATCTAAGTTGTAAGTTGGCCAACCTATCTAGCATTTGTGAAAATGGCCAACTCTAGTTAAGACTTTTAGCCTTTTATCTTTAGCAGTAAATGCTCATATAACTCTGACTTTTTCTTTCACTGAAGTCACATAATTTTTCAACCGAAAAATCGCAAAACTTTCAAACAACCAATAAGTGATAATTTATACTCTATATTTTGATGAGATCGTGAGAAAATTATGACTTAATAGATGAAGGTCCAGTGGTTGTAGAGTTAGCCAACTATTATTATACTGTCATTAATATATGGTGTTATCAGTAATGCAAATTAGTGAAGTTACCGTTTTCTCTCGAAGCCTCTTCATCCTCTTTGTAGATTTGTGTATATACACATTAACTGGAAGAATTTTCATGCGAGAATTTTTCAGAATTTACTTCTTGTATGCGTTTGAATTTATTCCCTCTACCTTTTGATGTTAATATCCATTTCAGGGGTATCTACGTAGATTCAGATTCAGATTCAGATTACGCTGCTTTTTATTTATGATTCTGTTGCAATTTCTTTTGATTGTGAGAGCAGCATGCATAGGTCAGGTGAAAGTCTTCTAATTAACAGTGTAGTGTGTATGTGCTGGTGCAATCCTCTAAACTGTCTGATTTCTTTGACAGTCTAAACTCTAAAGAGAATCATATCAAAAAGTTCAGCTTATACAACAAACATTACACATTTGGCCTAAAAAATAGTACATAATTTGAAGTATTTGGTAATACTATTATTGTATCTTAAATTGTAGAAAAGCATAATTTGGATTTGGTCGAACTTAAACCATGAATGCGTTTGTTCTAGAGTGATGAGAAAATGGGGACACCTGTTAAGGTACCTCCGCTGTCAACAATGAAAATATTACCGGATACATATTCTGAAGAATCATGGATCAAATACTTGACGAGTGATGTTAGAGCGGGATCTGTCATTCCAAGATATCTCAGAGGCACGGTTTGCAAAATAACATTATTGAACCCTTCCTTTTGCATAAGGCTCTCTGTTATCTGAGATTTGAAAACTCCTGGTGCTACTGAGTTCACTCTGATATTGTGTACTCCCAATTCAAGTGCCATCATCTGCCATTATTTGAGAAGAAAATAAATGTACATTTTATCAAGTGATGACCTTGCACGTTTTAAGACAATAGCCAGTACGTACCCTAGTGAGCATGTCCAGAGCCATCTTTGAACAAGCGTAAGCAAGACCCCCGGGTACTAGTACTCGATTCAGACCAGAAACTGAAGAGATATTAATAACAGATCCTCCGCCCTGTAATTTGGCATCACGCATGCGTCTACACACATATTTGGACAGCAACCATGCCCCTCTAAGATTTGTGTTAAAGGTATGTTCCCATTCCTCCTCTGACAATTCCAGTGGAGAGCTCACAGGACCTATATATATATATATATATATATATATCATATATTAATGATGATACTCTTTAGAAATTTAAATATGTGATCATACTTTTTACCTCTTATGCCAGCATTGTTAATCAAGACATTGATATGTCCAAAGGCATCCCAAGCTCTTTCTACAGCGGCCTCCATGGTGGCACCATTGGACATGACATCAAGCTTGAGGGCAAATGCTCGCCGAATACCCTCTGAATTCATGTCGTTGCAGAGAGATTCCAGCCTGTCAATACGACGAGCAGCAGCAATTATGCTGCAACCAGCTTTGGCCAAGTCCAGACAAAACTCAAGCCCGATTCCAGAGGATGCCCCTGTCACCATCACTACTTTCCCGGTAAGGTCCTTCCACGGCTCCATTAAGTTATGTGATAATGTCAAACAGAAAAAACATATATAACAACATGAAGATTGAAATTAAGCCTGTTATTTTTGTGAAAGAGCTAGCTGACTAGTGTACCCAATAATACGGGACCAGATCTAAGTTGTTGGCAAAAATTTGTGAAAGAGCTAGCTGAGTAGTGTACCCAATAATATGGGACCAGATCTAAGTTGTTGGCCAAACGCCCAACTCTAATGAAACTTTTCAACAAATCTTTAGTTTTTAAAACCTGTATCAACTCAAGATGAGGCAAACAAAGTGTCTACTTATTAATTGTGCACTATCGTTTTTGCTTGCTTGTTGGTCCACGTACATTTGGTTTTGTTATGCATTCATTAGAGGTTTGAGTCTATAATTTACTTCTTGTATGCAGTTAGGTATTAAATTAATGCAATCAATTAATATGCGGTATTTCCAAACTTGGAATACAAACTTTACTACAGTAAGTTTTTTTCTTTTTTTTAATATATACTTACAATCTTAGCTTTTTGTTGTTATTCTGATGATGATCGTTTATATTGAAGATTGTGTTGGATTATCCATCTGAATTTCTTATTGGGATACAAGGTACGTATTATTTTAATGGGTTGAGATCGATTAAATTTATAACAAACGAAGGTGTCCATGGCCCCTATGGCACGCCAGCGATTAGATCCATCCAAAAGTCGAGGTTCATATCGGAGATGATCGTTCTTTTGGTATCGATAAGATCTATTGTTCACATGGGAGATTTTGGTGGATTTCATGGCACCAAAAGAAAGACGCACATTGAGAGTATTGGGATCTATATGAAGCCTGCTACATCCTCCATGATAACAAACTCCAAAAGACCATAAAGAAAACGATATATTTAATTATATATATATGGATTGATATTATTATTATTTTTTTTATATAACACAACATGCATCATTTGGTTAATGTTATTATGTGACAAATCATTGATGATTATTTACTTGTTTTTGCCCAATGTTTAGGAGATAATTGTGTGTAATTATATATCATAGGTGCATGTTGCCTAGCAAAGGTAAACGACTTTCATAATTATGTTACAATCTCCATATAATTAGAATTGTAATTATGTGACAAGTATACAACAATTTCAACATCTCACTTAATTAAACTCCCTTAATTATATTAGTATAAGGGTTATATTCTAGAAAATCAATTTAAGTAATTTTAGAAGTTAAGGAAGGAGCCCTAAACCTAATATTTTCCTTTGTAGTCTAAATAGTGTAATATAATAATATGGTACCGTAGATTCAAAGTGGACTCCTTTATTTTTTGAGTTATTTAAGTTACCTTTTATAATCTTCGTCCATAACAATAATAACATATTTGGTTAGATTATAAGTAGGGTCTATGAAGAGTAGTGCGTACATAAATCTAAGAGTTTCCAATAGATCTTTATTTTAATGATTGCTGATATATGGAGTGATAAATAATACACCAAATATTTGAATATATAAAAATAATTTTTTTAAAATCACCCTTTTTCTTGCACTAGCTTAAAAGGAGATCAATATGTAATTTAAAACAAATTTTACGTACCTAGTCATTTCGTTAAAAAAAATGTATTTTAAGTACATGTGTTGTTAAAAATAATGAACTACTTAGTTGTTTTACAAAGAAATTGAACTCAAAGTGATTTGATATCAATAGGAAAAACAAACTTTGATTAGTCAAATATGTTATGCGTAACTAATACTACTTCCTATTTTTTTTTTTAAGGTTTCGCGGTTACGATTTATGAAAATAATTGCTTCAAAATATCTATTATTATAGTAAATAATAATATAATCAATTAATGTTACCATTTTTATTCTTATTCTAAATGTGAAAATTAACTTACATTATATTGTTGAAAGAATCCAAAATCTAAAGCTTAAAATTTACCCACGTAAAAATTGTCCTAAACCTAAAGAAACAAAAAACACTTCTTACTGATTGTTATAACTTCATATTATATATACACTTTTTTATGAATTGATATTATTTTTATTAGGGAAAATTATATGTTTATGGATTATTCGGATAGTTTGAGATGGGTACTATTTGTGACTAACATACATATGGGCCATATGGCGGCTTCAAGCAAAAAACTTATATTGGACTCTATTTGAAGCCCATAGACCCTCACAAGCCCACTCTATTTTTTAAAAAATATATATATATTTTCATGATTGATATTTGATATTTATTATCATCATTTTATATTAAAGTTTTTAGTTAAGATTATTACGTGACTATTATTATATAAGTAAAAGTAATAAATTATTAGTAATAGTAGGATAAATTTTTCTCTCACAAAAATTATGAGATATATAATTTTACTTATTATTATTATGTATTCGTACATTGAAGCGTTAATTTAGAATAATAAGTTAAAATTTATTTATATATATGTATGTCCATCAATGTCTATATACAAATTAAATTGCGTCGGTAGAAAATGGAAGTTTGTTAATTATCAAAACTGCTCAACTGTCTGCGCCAAAACGTAGGGGTAATTTTGTAAATTAAATATCCAACGATATATTCTAACCTCCCGCGTTGCTCCCTGTTTCTCACTCACATATTCAACTCTCCTCCGACGAGCGTCGCCGCCGCAGACTTTCCCGCCGGGAACCGGTTTACCTCTTCTCTCTGTCTTTCTGGTTTCTTATTTGGGCTTCTCCTTTCATTTTCATTTCTTTTCATTGCTTCATATTCATGAATTAACCAAACAGTTACTCTAATTGCTTTGGCCGAGTGCGTTGTTTCACTAGGGTTTTGGATGAAAATTGTTTTCAGTTTGGTTACTTCATCCGAAATTTACTTAGTTTTTTTCATTCTTCGTGTGATTCTCTTTGCTAAAAAATAATAATACTGAAATGGTGAATTCTGCTGTTAATTATGGTTGAATTGTTTGTTTAGATTATACAATTCTGCTGTTAATTGCTTTGTTCTTCATGTTTGGCTTAAAAGGTTCTTTATTCTGCATCAGATAATGAAAATTTGATTTTTTTTTATGAGCGGTAGTTGAATACATGTTCAGATTTTTGGATCTTCCTTTTACTTTTTGCTTATTTAGGTTTTAGTGTATATATATAGAGATTTTGAATACCCTGAATACAAGACTAGAGGTTAGCTTAGTGGTTAGGGGATCAAAATTCACCTTGAGGTTCCAAGTTAATTCCAAACACTACGCTTTTATTTCTCGAATTCCCTAGTCTTGAACTGTCACTGGCCATACTTATGGTCTATATTGAAGGAGAGACTTGGCGTAATGTGTAAATTTGCCTCCATGTGACCAGATGGGTTTGAGGCGTGAAAATAGTCTCTTTCAGAAATGCAACGTAGCTTCGAGTCGTGGAAATAGCCTCTTGCAGCAATGCAAGGTTAGGCTACATACAATATACCCTTATGATCCATCCCTTCCTTGGAACGCGAGTATTGTGGTAGCTTAGTGCACCAACTGCATTTACGTTCCTTCCCTACTATTCTATCTGGTTGTAAATGTTGACCGTAGAAGCTATCTGTTATCTACACATTGCTTCTCATTTCCTCCATTTCCAATTACTTCACCCACTCCCCTAATCATTGCACCTTTTTCTAAGGGAAATACTCCATCGTTGACTTAAACCAGTAATCTTCTACAACAGCATTGAGATTATTTACTATGCTGAATAGGCGGGAAACTGATCTTTGAGGGGTCTATGTCCTAACACATCTTCCTTTTAAAAATATTTTTTTCTATCATCGCCCACTTTGATGTAAACATGCACTAAGAACATATCCTTTTTTTGGTAACTGGATTGTATTAATTACCAAGCAAGTATTTACGAACCAGCAAGTCTATAACTTAGTCTACTAATCTGAAAGGAAACTCTTTGAACACCAAACAAAACAAGGAAAAGAGCTATCCAATAATACGCAATAAGAAAAGCTACTGCTTGAGACATCAGAGTTCATCCTAATTGCTGTTCAGAAGCTGCAATTTATCAGCTTTCTCCTCATGGCATCAGAAGCATGGACATTACATATTCAAGCTATCTCTTTTGCTATTTGTTTACATTGTTTCACCTTCCCTTCAAAAATCATAGCATTCCTTTCCTTCCATATAGTAAGTATAAACTCTGAATTGACCATCTTAATAAGAAGGGCCTGCTTGCTTCTCCCTTTAATTGCCTTCAATACAGTTTGGTACTGGAGCAACCGTTATTAGTTTCTGCAATTTGAAAAGTTACTTGTTCTTGTTTTCTTGAACTGCCTAGGTCAAGGTTGAAATTTAACTGGGATGAGCAATAACAGGCTAAATGGTCATTAGCTCAGATCAGCTTTTCAGGTACACTCAAGAAATACTATGAATATAGATGAAGTGGTGGATAACGTATGGCGGAGAAAACTGAAGAGTCGAAATTCTATACTTGTCTTAAGATTATCCATTAAATGAGAGTAGCATGTGAAAGGAAGTGGTAATTTTGTGGTTGCATTATCAGAAACTTCATTGTCCCAGCAATGGCATAAATAAAACTGCTGAAGTCCTTAATTTATGCATTTTATTTTCATGAACTTCTTTTTAGTCTGCAATTTTATACTGATTGATGTGGTATTTTGTAAATCTTAATCTGCAATTTTCTACTTTGTATATCAGCTTCTCTGCACATCAATTGATTCCTTGTTTTACCATTATTAGGTTATAGTCAATCAGTGTTATATCCAGTGCCAGTCAAGGTGATGCCTGCTATGAAGGTTCAGATACTAACTTTTTCTGGTTCATACTCTTTGTCTGCATGTTGTCTATATCAATTTAACTTACAGAGATATTATGTCGAGTGATATCATATGCTGTGCTATATACTTATAATAATTATATTATGTGCTATACAAGTTACATTTTTTGTTCTACATATTTGAATCTCAATAATTTCTGCTCCCTCTTGGTATTTTTGTAATCAATGAAGCAACATAACTAGACCTCTAAAGGAGAAGATTTGGTGCGAGGCATTTGGTAAAGTCAGGACGTTTTGATATACTGCAAATTAAATAGTAAATTGACAGCTGCTGTAGTGACTCCAGTAAAGCCAAAAGACTAGCTAGCAGCTAGCCAGTGGCTTGAATTCAAGTCTGAGTTCAGTTCCTATCGAGGATAAAAGTGGGAATATTTATTTTGGAAGCATTAGTTTCTTCATTACCGCGGTGGGGACGAGTTCGCTTTTTCTACTTTCCATGGGTTAGGGGTGGGTGGTGTTTGCAGGTTTCGATTGGAACTCCAATTTGTCAAAATGCATTTTTCACAGCTTTAAATCATAAAATGCCCACTCCCTTGGACATGGTGATGTCCACTTAAATAATAGAATTGGGCATCCGAGTGTTGAAG